TATGGCTAGTGTTAAGTGTAAAATTGATATTGTATTTATGTATGCAAAATTGGCCGACTAGATTTGTTGGTGGATGACCCACAAAAATTTGTTTTGTTGTTCATTTGGCAGAATTTTGCACAGAATTCCATCTCCATGGGGCACTTGTTTTTTTTTCAGGTCCCTTAGGTCAAGGTGGCATTTCTAATGCTTTGAGTTGTTTGTATTTATGCAATATCCATTCCATATCCATTTGAAGATCGGTGCATATTTTGTTGCTTTGATAATAGATTGTTTATATATGGCCATCACAAGCGCGCCAAATATTAATTATTACTTACGTCTCAATTAGGTCAGGTCAGTAAGGTCATTGGGATAATTATCAAATTTCTTCTAAATTCAATTTATTTATCCTCCAGTGGTAAAGAATAATGATTTGTAAGGGGCACTTCGGTGTCTAAAAATAAATGTCCTTCAAAGACCAAGAAAGACCAATGAGGGAGGTAACAATACAGAGTAAAAATAATACAGAAACACTTATACACTGTAGTTTGTTAATAATCTGATAGTGATAAAGGGGAGATAGATTAGAACCTAATTTATGAGTTATTACTGACTACTAGACAAAATATTTCGTTCATCCTAATCATTAAACTTATGTATACAAAACACAAAATTGGTACTCTTAATGTATCAATGAACTATTTTTAATTTAACTGTCTCTTAGATATTTGGGGCAGAGGTTGCATAGCTTGCAGTTTCTAACACTAATGCAATCCAAGCAACAAAGCTTCATTTATCAATTTATTTTATTCTCTATGGATCCTCTTAATTGTTTTATAATACTCAGATGGTCGTTATGGCCCTTGGATCTCTTGTTGTTTTTATATATATAAGTAAAACCAGTATATCTGAGTGCACTCTTATGTAACAGTAGAACATACGTAGCTTGGGAACTGCAAACTCTTATGCAAATATGCTACACTTTAAGATCTCTTAAAGGAAAATGTACGATTCAAATTTAGCAAAAAATCAAGAGAATGATTGAAATGGATGTAATATCAAAATGTGTCAAAATGATGAAAATTGATCCATAGGTTTTAAACATTTCGGGAAAAAAATCAATTCAGAAAAAATTAAATAATCAGAATTATGACGTTATAATATTTTACCTTTGACCTCTTTGACCTTGACATTTACTGTACATAAAGCATGGAGACTTCTAATGCATATATACGAACATCAGGTCTCCATTACAAAGCGATAGTTAAAGTTATACTTTATTTAACAACAGACGGTTAGATCCCATGTAGATGACATAAACACATTCTAAATGTAGGCTAGATAATATCCAGTAGGGTGAACTCGCCATGCATCGGACACCCTCGTACTTCAACAAGTTCTAGCGATATCGCTACTGATCAAATACTATCAAAATGGAGCTTAACATGTAACATTAGTATGTGATTAAAATGTAAATCTGTGACACAACAGTATGCTATTTATTGAGAAAATATCATTAAAAACTTTTTTTTTTAAATGAGTCAGAATTCACCATGGATCGGACAATATTCACCATGCATCGGACAAACGGTATTTTGAACCGAAAAATGTAAGAATTTTATCTCAGTGCTTTTAAATTAGTGATAAGAAAATATTTTTATCTTTTAATTAAAAATTAACTTTCAAGTTTAAATTGATTGAATATATCAATCCACAAATGTAAAGAGATTTTAGATACATCGCATCGCCTTAGAATGGTTTTTACGATGCTAGTAGTATGGCAACTCGCGCCCTTGTCTCGTGGGTTATCAACTTCTAGTTTGTAGAAATAAATTGAGTCCACTTCTAGTTGTCATAAATTGATAACTTGTATTTTCATTGAATACTTATTAAGAGTTTTTATCTTTCATTTCTGCAAAAGACAGCTGTCAGTTTTGTTCTATACGAAAAGGGAAGTGTATACTTATGCATCGGAAAGTGTCCGATGCATGTTAATTTGTGTCCGATGCACGGTGAAATGAACATACTAGTAAAAGAACAACTCTTAGAAAAATTAAACAAACATTAAAGTGAACTTTCTGGAAAAATTCTAGAAAATTATCAATCATTGACAAATTTCACTTAGACCGACTCGTTCCCTTGAAAAGAAAGGCAACTCTTATTTACAAAATCGTAATATTCTGGTTACTCCCCTTTGATGATGTCAAATATGACATAACTTCAAGGCCATTTACGTGGTATTTTTATCACAAAATGATAATAAAAATTGGCATCATTAACAATTTTAGATCTTCGGCTTTAAGACAGAAACATGTAAAAACTCGGGGACATTCAGGTTTAATGAAAGTTTATTGCTTAAGGATATCCGATCCTCAGCCAGGAAGGATAACTCTTAAAATTAATATTTTATTCAAAAAGTCTCAAAATGAAGCTTGAAATTGAGATCTTTCCGTGCAACAATTTTCATTTTATGCATCTTAATATGATTCAAAGTTCTTTGAAGTCTTAGAAACGGTCATGTAAAAAGTTGACATTTGTACCCCATAAAAGAAAAAAAATGAATTCATTTTTAGAGAAATCGAATTTCCTTTTGTTAAGCATTAGATACCACTACTTATTAGCATGATATGAAATTAAATGTGATATGTGATGTCTAGCAATCATAGCACAAGCTTTTTACACTATATATTATATGACAATTGAACTAAAATACCGTGCAAGCATAAAAAAGATGCAATTTTCTCCAAATGCCTGGATACCTATATTTTTCTATCCTAAATTATATTTGTTGATCAATTTTCAATTAGAAAATGCATAGCTGGTGTTTTTATTCACATTACCTGAAAATATATTTGAGATTTGATAATTTTCCCTATATAATATGATTAACTATAATGATGAACTTTGAAGAAAGTCCATGGGTAAATTCACGTTACTTTGTGAAATCAGAGACATTTTTGTGAGCATTTTCAATTACTTAAAAGCTGATTTTCAGAACCTGAGGATCGGGCTACCTTAAAGTTGGCCGAAGCAAGGTATGTGTCCTATGCATGGTTAACTCACCCTATATAAGATGTCTCAATTTTTGTTTACAAAAAAGGGTGAATACATGTCAAAGTTTATATTTTTTCTTCCAAAGATAATTGATTATTGACATCAGAGTAATTTTATTTTTTCTCTAGCGTGTTTCAGGAAACGACTGATGAAATGTTTGAATTACATACAACATGATGAAGTATTTTGACTTAAATGTATATTTGAAATCACAAAATTTTACCAAAATCAACAGCATAAAACTTACGACTTTTCAACTTTATATACAAATTTACCCCATGATAAATTAAAGTCCAGACTTTCTGACATCGCTGACAGCTGCTTTTTCAATAAAAATGAAACTCGTAAATTTACTTAATACCTTGTCACTGGTCATTTGCAAAATTTCTTTGTTAAAAAAACAATCTGATTGTACACACAAGTACTCTGAAGTTGACATTAAAAAGATGCTCGAGTTTCTGATTGACAATATCTATGTGGTTTTTGGAGACCAGGTCTTCCAACAATCTATTGGAATTCCCATGGTTACCAATTGCGCCCCGTTATTATCAGACATGTTTTTTTAATCATATGAAGCAGAATTTGTTCAAAATCTTTAACGTAAAAAAAAAAAGTTGCTGTGGCCTTGAACTCGACATTTAGATATATCGACGACGTATTGTCAATTAACAATGGCTATTTCCATTCTTATGTCAACACGATATATCCTGGTGAGCTTCAGATAAAAGATACCACTGAGTCTGACACATCTGTTTCATATTTGGATATTTTATTAGAAAAAAACGTTAATGGTAATCTGACAACAAAGCTTTATGATAAACGTGATGACTAACTTTTCAATCGTCAACTTCCCTTACTTATGCAGCAATTTACCCTTATCACCTGCATACGGGGTTTATATATCTCAGTTTATTCGATACACAAGAGCATGCTCTACGTATGAACAACTTCTAAAACAAGGTAAGTTATTGACAAATAAGTTGATGAAACAAGAATATCAGCAGTCTCATTTAAAGTCATTATTTCATAAATTCTATGGTCGATACAATGACTTTGTCAACAAATACAATCTTTCATAAAGTCAAATGCTGACTGACCTTTTTCTTACTTATAGTTAGGCCATTATTTACACATTTAATCGTCGACGGATTTTTCCGTTATTTCCCGATCATGACAAGGAGCACACGGCAGGAATGACCGGTCGGCAGGGGATGCTCACTCCTCTATGGCACCTGATCCCACCTCTGATGTCTGAGAGGTGTGTGTTTGCTCTGCTCCTATTTTGTATTGTTTAATGGACTTTTGAGCTCGAAAACTGTTCGTTATCTCCACATATTTCATCCTTAAAAAAAGGATTATTGCATTTAAACGCAAAATTATTGCATTTATAAGCAAAAATTATTGTGTTTAATGGCAAAAGTATTGAGTTGAATCGCAAAAGTATTGCGTTTAATCGCAAAAAAAATGTTGCGTTTAATTGCAAAAATTATTTTGTTTAAACGCAAAAGATTTTGTTAATAGCAATCCTTTGCGATTTAACGCAAAGTATTTTGTGTTTAAACGTAATGATTATTGCGTTTAAACGCAATAAAAATATTTCTTCCTTTGAACTGTCCGCAACGGACTTTCGTTGTTTTAAACTACCTTAAAAGTTTTTGTTTCCTTCATAAAATAGCGAATAGTATGAATATATCTAGATGAAAAAAAAAATAAAATTGCATAAAGACAGTCCCGAAGATGTTCACATGATTAAAAAAAGTAACGCTGTTTTAAAGGATAAGATTGTCATTTTTCTGCGGCAAGAGACATAACCTAACCCTGAATACATTGTTTCATGAGAGATATCAGGAATCATTCTGTGTTTTAATATAATATTCTCAGAACAGATTATTTGATTAAAATATTTTATTGATGACTTTAATTCAATTATGAACAATTCTATAACTACAAAGACAATTGTTGAATAGTAAAATAGTATATTGTTTGTCTGGTATTGTCATTGTACAAATATTCCTTGGGGATTAAATTTCTTTGATTTCGTTCTAAACAATTATTAAAGAAAATTAAATCCCAAACGATTTTTTATGGATGTATATTTAATATAGTGAATTTGAAATAAATGATATCTGAAATAAAATACCCATGAAATCACTGTAGATTTCATCCAAGGAAAATTTGTTTCTACAGTAATTAAGAAAGTAAATATTTGCATTATTTGCGTGGCGGTATAAATGGCTATCGATCAGACAGGTATAGATACTACTTGATTAATCACCTATATACATTTTTGTTACATTCAGATCTTATTGACTGCTCTCCGTAATATAGATACGACAACTTGAAAACATATTTTTCTACAGTTTGCATCATTCCTTGATTTTTCAAGTAAAAAGGATCTCAGGAAAATATTTGTAATAATGTTGTGATTTATACAAATAATATTAGAAAATGTGTACTTTTGGCGACTACTGTTTGAGACTAACTTTCTCCTCTGATTTGTTTTGTTCTGTTAATTAGCATCCTCTATGGGGTGATTGTTTCAAGACGTTAGAATGTTACAGAATAATAATCACACAGTACTTGCAGCTCCATTTATACTTTAATTTTTGTTACGCTTTTTTTCCACTAAATTTATCCCACTTCTGTATTTCCTTATATAACATCTCTCCTGGACATTCGTTAGTTGGATCTTGGTCGCGATGTCCAAGAAGTTCATAATCTGGTTTTATATAGCCTTTATCAACACCGCATTGAATCAAATTCTTCACTGCTTGTATTGCGATCGTCTTTGGTTTCTTTTTAGAGAAATTTCCAATAAATGATACAGCCAATCCAACGTGATTCTTCCCTAAGGTATGAGCACCTTCTCGACTCCAGCTTTGACCTTCGTAAATTTTCCCATCACCTCCAACGAGGAAGCTGTAACCTATGTCATAGTAAATCTTCTCTGGGTTTTCTTTGAATAAAAGAAATGTTAATTTTATATTAATTGATAATATGTATTTTTAAAAAAAAAATGTATTAAAAAAAACAAAACAAAAAACAAAACCAAAAAAAAACCTTCATTCAATCAAAGCATTAACAGATAACCTGCTGATTTAACTCCGGAAAAAAAATCTTAATCCTTAAGGAATGCCAAAATCTCAAGGTTTATTACAGAACCATTCGCTTCACTCAAAACCACTTAATGCACAAGCGCATTACTGGGTACAAAATAGCAATACCCCATCCAATTAAGCAGTCATGTTTGTCCATAATTGATTAATTTAAAAAAAATATAAAAAGAAGGATTTATCTTTCTGGGTCTGATTTGAAAATTACGGAAGCCGGTTGGTGCCAGGTAGAAAAAATATTTTATCTGGCGGTCGACAGATAATATATGTTTCTGGCGGCCGCCACATAAATAAGTGGCGGCCGCCAAATAATTTTCTGACGGATGCCAGATAACTTTTTGGCGGCCGCCAGAAAATTATTTGTCAGCCGCCAGATAAGTTTCTGGCGGCCGCCAGTTATTTATGTGGCGGCCGCCAGATAATTATCTAGTGGCCGCCAGATAAGATATTTTCTTCTTGGCACCTACCGTCTTGCGTAGAAAATATCAGTTTTGTACGACATAATAATATTCAAAAGCAAAATACAGTTCTCTCCTGGTGATTCTACGTTGTATTTTTCGTAGAAATAACCCCAAATGACATATACAATCTAGATTTTTTTTTCCTTCAATTTTTTAGATAGAACTGTAAAAAAGATATATTATGGTACTACAGATGACAATAAACGTAGTGTACCTGTTATTATTATAATTTTTTTTCTTCTTTCATGTTATTAATTTTTTTTTATTGTTTTATATTAAAGCTCGTATATTTATTATTTCAAATACTGTAATTCTATTGGAAAACGTCGAGAAAAGGTATCTCAATATTTTATCACGGTACAATTCTAAATCCAGCAGCTTAAATACAATACAGGTAATTTAATTGATGCTTGAAAGCGATTAAATTTTCCATCATCAAGTGTTAAAAAGCTTCACTATAAAATAGCTATATATTTGAAAGGTAATTGTAAATATTAAAAAGTTCGATGCTTCAAATAGTTTTCACCATCAAGAAAAGAAGGCCATTGACATGGTTATTTGAAAGCATAAAAAGTTGACTGGCACTTCTCATACTAATTTTTACTAATTGTTAGGCCATTATTTACAAGCTGAATTTTCTACGGATTTTCCGTTTACCCCATCATGCCAAAAAGCTCACAGCGTGTGTGTCTGGTCGACATGCGGTTCTTACGCCACCGTGGTATCTGATCCCGCCTCTGGTGTTTTTGGAGGTCCGTGTTTGCTTTACTCCCGATTTGTATTGTGAAAATCGACCATGAGCTTGAATACTGTTCGTTTTCTCCATATTTCACACCGTTCTCTGTAGCTCAGTCGGTAGAGCGCTCGCTCGGTGATCGTGAGGTCGTGAGTTCGAATCTCGGCCGCGACTGATCTAAGTCGATAAAAAACGGGTCGCAACTGTTCCTTCGCCATGCGCTCGGCACTTTGAAGTGAAAGTTGCTGGTCCTTCGGATGAGACCTTAAAAACCTAGGCCCCGTGTCACGGCAGGCGTTGGAACGATAAAGATCTCATTGCTCTGTGGCCCTGAGTGCCGCGTAAAGGTCAAAATTTGAAGCCCTTCACCGGTAAATGGTGACGTCTTTATATGAGTGAAAAATTCTCGAATGGGACGTTAAAAACATACAATCAATCAATCCATATTTCACTTTAACCACCGAACATGTATCTCTGCTGGTGGACAGTCTGTCCCCGAGGATACTTGTCGTTTGGTACTTATTCATTCATGAAAAGTACACAGCATAACGAAAAGACACAGACGCATCACCCAGCATAAAAGGGTGTCACTTTCTGAGTCTATAAGGGACACAGGTTCTCTAAGAGTTCAATCGATGTCCCTCGGATAATTCAGGGATATTACATTTATGTCATATGTTTAATCTTCAGATTTCCAGCTTTGGTATAAAACCAACTTTCATAATAAAAAAAATTGAGGGAATGTAAGGTTTCTATTAAAGATATATTTGAAGATTCCTTTCCGATCCCATGTGTTCTATTTAAAAATGTTCTGTCAAAAACTTAAAAAATCTGTGATGTATTGATTACAAGCTCTTCATTTACTAGTAATCTTACTGGACAGAGCTTCTATACCAAAACTTGGGAAAATCTGAACTGCAAATCTTCAAATGTTGTCTACGGAATAGAATGTACCCTTTGTGGGCTTATTTATGTTGGTGAAACCATGGGTTCACTTTTAAAGGATATTAATTGGGGCACAAATTTAAAATTAACAAAGGAGGCCAACAGTTTCTGTACAAACATTTTAATTAAACTGATCATTCTAATTTGTCAACGAAAGTAAGAATTATCGGAAAGACTCACCATCATACTAATAACATCCCTGAGTACACTTTCCGTAGACAACGCGAAGAATACTAGATTAGAAAACTAGGCACGGCCTTTCAATATTGTAGCAATCTTTCAAACCTACACTGCAGGAAACGTGAATGTGATGGGACTTTTTAACAAGACACAGAGACTAAGCGTAGTCATGAACATCGGTATTATAATTAACCTATTACATATATACGCGATGTCTCCTTTGATTCACTTCTACCTTATGTAAATAAACAGTTAGGTCTTCATCACATTCGCACCAAACTTTACTCTGTCCCTTTGAATGTTTTAAATAGCCTATTTGTAAAAGTTAAGGAAAGTCCATATTTTGCATTTTCTTCAACACCAGAATACAGGCTGGGATTATGAATAATGCAAATCATAGGCTCTTTAAGCCGCCACATTTACGGAAGAAAATGCTGCTCAAACAATTTCTTTGTTTCTTTAATTTCAATATGCCAAGAAAGGAAATGACGCAGTTAATATAAATAATATTCTTAGTCACAAAAGGATCCAGTCTTGTATCCCACCATATTTCAAGTTGTAGTCTACTCCTTGTAATTCTTACAAATTTTCATCGACAATTGCTTCCAAACTTTTTAATTACAAAAAACTCTACAGTACCTAGATATCAAACAACTGAAACATTATCCTTCAACGTGAATTCGTATTTCACTTGTGCATTGTGGAAGACAGAAGGAAAGATGGTTTTCATATTGTCCCTCAATTGCTCAATGCGAGCTTTCAACATCCATCTGATACTTTTAATTCATTCTGACAAAGTGCCAAGGTCTTCTTTTTCATATTTGTCCCATCGTGTGACGTAATCTTCCACAGAACTCATAATATTTATGAAATTATGACGCCAGTTGAAAGACAGGGATTGCCTAAATTTTGGCCCTTTTATAATAAGGGAATTAAGATCCTAATTATTAACTGTATATTAAGGTCACCAGTAATGACGTGTCTAGCAGTACTATAGTTGTAGGGTTAAGAAGAAATAACAAGTTGGAGGATAATATACTGCTGTTTAGTACTCTTCAAATTTCTTCTTCACTGCTGGTAATATTTAAGTGAGGAGTAAAGAAAGAGGCTTGGTAGAACATTTAATGGAACCTGTTATTCGTAAGGGATTTTTTTTATTGAGCTTTGGAATCCAGCATAGGCGTGGTAATTCAAATTCGTTTATTATCATTATTAAAACTATTTAAAACTGACATACGATTTTGAAGAATATTCACCTTAGAAAGGGAGCTATGGGCATTAGTTGAATTACCACTTACAGAATTAAATCCTAGTTCCTCTAAAATACAGTTAAAATAATGAGCCTTACGAACAAAGATAATGTTATTTCCTGTTTTCTTAGCTGGGACCAGTACATACTGATCGTGTAATCTATTCCAGAAGTTATGTAAATCAGATGTGGATACTTATAAAATCTAAGGAACTTTTAGAAAATTTAAAATCACCGAAACGTTGGAAATCCAAAATATTTAAATAAAAAAGACAGCCATTCCCCACGATAAATTTAAGTCCAGGCTTTTTAGCATCATATACAGCTGCTTTTTCAATAAAAGTGGAACTCATAAATATACGTACCTTGTCATTGGTCATTTGCAAAATTATTTTGCTGAAAACGATTCGATTGTACACACAAGTACTCTAAAGCTCATATTAGAAAACTGCTGGAGTTTTTGATTGACCATATCTATGTAGTTTTTGGAGGTCTTCCATTAATCTGTTGGAATTTTCATGGGTACCAATTGCGCCCCGTTATTAGCAGACCTATTTTTGGCTGTGCCCTTCAGCTCGACATTTAGATATATCGACGACGTATTACCAGTTAACAATAGCTACCTCAATTCGTATGTCGATTTGATATACCCAAGTGAACTTAAAATAAAAGACACCACAGATTCTGACACATCTATTTCATATTTTGATATTTTACAAGAAAAAGACGTTAATGGTAACCCTACAACAAAACTTTATGACAAACGTGATGACTTCAACTTTTCTGTCGTCAACTTCCCTTACGTCTGTATCAATATATCTTTATCACCTGCATATGAGGTGAATATCTCCCAGTTGATTCGATACGCAAGAGCATGCTCTACATGTACATACGATCAATTCTGAAAACGAGACATGCTATTAATTTGATGAATCAAGGATATCAACAGTCTCGTTTTTAGTCATCATTTCGCAAGTTCAATGGTCGATACAATGATCTTATCAGTAAATACAATCTATTATTAAGTCAAATGCCGACTGACGTTTTTCATACAAATGTTTTAATACTAACTGAAATTTCTACGGATTTTCCCGCTTACCCGATCATGACAAGGAGCACACCGCGTGTGTGACCAGTCGACAGGAGATGCTCCATGGCACCTGATCCTACCTCTGATATTTTGGAGGTTCGTGTTTGCTCTGCTCCCGTTTTGTATTGTGTAAACGAACTATGAGATTGAATAGTGTTCATTATCTCCATATTACATATTAC